GGAGTCATTGTAGCATTGAATTCTTTGCTTGGCATTGCCTTTCAATTCTATTTTTGTAACCCATTGGACCCGCCTGCCATTGATTGCCTCATCAGCGCCGATGGGACCTGAACATGTTTTTTCCACACCCCATTGCATACGCCTATATGAAAATTCCATTGTCTTTTTCTTTTCCTTTCAATTGTTTTCATTGAATTATTTTGTATTTAATTATTCTTGACTTTTCAAGCATTTGTTCTAATATCTTTCACACGTTTTAGTGTGAAGTAATAACATCACTATTCTATATATATAGCTTATATTTTGTACAGATTATAAATAGAAATTTACTTAAATTAATATGACATAATTTAAAAATATTTAAAATGAAATATAAATGTTATGGAATTTTTTTATTCACAAATCTAAAAAAAATATAAGAAACAAACTATGGATTGGAATTCTAATTTAGACATTAAAGGAGCTTGAGCTTCATCCACTAATTATTTTCGCCATTTACTTCTCCACTAAACTCGATCAGATAGGACTCAACATGTATTTTTTCATCCCATTGGATACGATTATTATAATCTTTTTCTTCACTTTAGAATTTCTTTATCCCTCTTTTTTGTTATGGAGTTATTAAGTTTAGCGAAATAGATGCTAGACATGCTTTTTCCACATCCCGTTGCATACGCCTACATGAAATTTCCATTTTCCATTTCCTTTGCTTTCAATTGTCTTTTATGAATTATTTCGTATCCAATTATTCTTGACTTTCAACCTTACGTTCTAGTATCTTCCACAAGTTTTAGTGCTAAGCGATAATGTCACTAGTAAAAAGTCCATATACTTTGGGCAATACCGATAGAGTATAACAAGAGTTTATTTAATTTAACATCACATTACTTGACAATATTTGCGATGAAATGTAAACTTTAAAAGAATATATATTTTTTTTTCCCTTTTATCCGCAAATGTCAAAGAAATATAAGCAACATAACTTTTAGACAGGTCATCAACAAAACTTTTAGGATATCACTTATGCTACAATAATCATTTAAATAAAAGGAATTGAGTATAACAAATTTTTTAATCAAATTAAAATGTATTTATTATATTTTTTATCATTAATTTATATAGAAAAGATAAAAGTTGATTTAAATTTCATTAATTGTCAAATTAAATTGCTCCATGTAGGCAATGGGATTGAAAATAGAGTTTACTTTTGTAATTTTTCATTAATTAAGTTTACTCTAATTAAGTTTACTTTCATGGTAAGAATTTTCAATAGAGCTAAATTTTAATATAAGAGAGTGAATTTCTACCAAAACTTATAGAAATTAACATTCTCCACAAAACAGAGTTGGTGACTTAACAGCAAAAGCTATAAGCACTTACCAGTACCAAGAAAGAATACTAAATACAATAGAGTTCAAATTTTAAGTAAGTGCTTTTTTTCCCCCATAACTTCAAATAAGTTTATTTGCTCATATCAGGGTTATGATGATTTACAATTCTTAAAAATAAAGGACACTTAGGACACTTAGGTATTGTAATGCTTTTTCTAGTGGAATAATTTGATGAGATATGTTTCTTTTAATTACTTGATTATATGTTTTCTTATTAGTTTAGCATTTTTTTTATTGCAAGTAGAATGTATGAAATGGCGAAAACTATCTGGATGTGAATAATATATGAAAGTTGTTATGGTTTCTGTAACTTAATAGCATATTTTTTTTTTGGGGTGATTTTTCCATATTTGAGAAGATATCTATTATAGCATTGAGGAAGGTTATGCTTATATTTTTTTTATCAACAAAAAATATCACCATATAATTGTTAATAAACATCAAAAAGTACAAACTGTAGTAGAGAAGAAATGGAGCTAAGTCGAGATGCCTACCAGAAACAAAACTTGACATAAAGGAACCCTAGTGTAGATGACCAATGAAGTTGTCTAATCTAAAATGATCAACAGCGGGAATCATTGTTGTATTGAATTCTTTGTTTTTCTTTTTTCTTTTTTTTTTGGTTTCCTGCCCTGTATCCGAGGTTTCGCCTCGAATAATCCGGACCCGACCCGCGTCGCCCACCTGAAAATGGTGGGTGAGTCTCCCAGCGGGGGCTGCTGCGTACACAAAGTCTCGAACTCAAGATCTTGCTTAAGCTGGAACAAGCCGCTTACCACTTGATCCAACCCCTCGTTGGTGTATTGAATTCTTTGTAACCCATTGGACTCGTCTGCCATTGATTACCTCACCAGCTCGGACGGGACCTGAACATGTTTTTTCCACACCCCATTGCATACGCATGTATGAAATTTCCATTTTCCTTTTCCTATCCTTTCAATTGTTTTCAATGAATTATTTTGTATTTAATTATTCTTCACCTTTCAACCTTTCGTTTTAGTGTTAAACAATAACGTTAACTTTGCATTTTTTTTCTATTTAAATATGTTAACTTTATTAGTTTTTAAATAAAAATGTTAATTTTTAATTTTTTTTAAATAAGGATGTAAACTTTCAATTTGTTTTATTTAAGGATATCAACTTTTAAATTTTTTTATTTAAAGATTAATTGGGTGGTAATGCTAACGTGGCTAACATATTTTTTTAGGTTAAATACCTGAATTGGTCCCTCAACTTTTATTTTTAAACCAATTCATCCTTGAATTTCAGAAAGTACCAAAAATGTCCTTCAACTTTAATTTTCAACACCAATTTCGTCTTTCCGTTAGTTAAGTGCTGATGTAGCTAATTTTTCCGCTAAGTGATTGACTATTTTACATTTTCAAAATTAGGTGAAAATCCATCATATAAAAGATGATTATGTAAATTTTTTTTAAATTTTAAATAATTTA